GCTATGAAAACAATCAAATGATCATCGATCCACATATATGTTGTTGCTTTCAGTATTTTAATATTTTTATATCAATATTTTTTTTCAATACAACAACAAATGTGGGAATTCAAAATCAGTAAATTGTCTACTGTCGCTTAGGGTATTTAGTTCAAAATTGGTAGCTTAAGTAGTTTTTCATTGGTAAATTTGGATTCAATCTACATTTACGCTCGATCTGTCAAAGTATATTACCCAATCAAACAATTTCAAAAATATCCAATACATAAGTGGTTTAGTACGAATTTATATTTTTCATAAGTACATATATCGAATATCAAATCACACTGTGTTTGTCAAGTCATAAAAAAACCGTAATTAATTTTAGGGTAATCTTACTATTCTGACAAAATATCTAGAGATATAAATAAATCTCTAGTAATATAAATTTTACTGTGATTTGAACAGACGAGTGATATATGACTGTAATATAATACTCATGAATAATTCATAAATCATTCGCATCACTTTTGTGTCGAATGTCGGTATTCATAAATATCATATGAATAGAATATAAATCATTATGAGTGCTGTCAGCTGTTTTTATGAATCGAATAGAGTCGAATATAAGAAAAAGAGAATCAGAATCGTGATTTGTAATAAATAATATAAAAAAACATATTAAATTAATTGGATCACTGTTTCGGTTACGTCCATTGAACTGCAAATTTGTAACTAATATACAATAATATATATAAATATGTACAATAAATATATATATGAAGGCAATTGAATAACATAATCAATATAATAAACAATGCTAACAATAGATAATAGATATATTATTGTAGATACCAACTCAACAATAATTGAAATTATTTGACTTGAATATAACAAAGATAAATATTTAAATGTAGTGTAACAATCGAGTACTAGATCTGTTCCACGAGACACTCGTAGTAACTTCGAGTAACACTGTATATACACAAGTGAGTTCCACCAATAGTTTTTCGAATAAATGAGAGCATCTGAGAAAGCGTTTTTCAAGAAAAATTTGAATTGATATGTGAATCAGGTGTTTTGATTTGAATTTAAATTTTTGTATAGTTTATTTGCACGGCACTGGTATTTACACCAGATTTTACACAAAGGTGTGCCATGAAAATCTGTGTAAAGAGCGTAATTTAGCACTTTATTTGTGTTACACTCTCAGTTTGTACTTTAGTTATGTTTTATTTGAGTTTTGCTACGAGCAGCTTGTGAAACAAACCTATTATTAAATATACAACTTTAAATAAATATTAAATTAAATATTAAACATAGTTTATTTTTAATTTAAGCATCTTTATGGAACGAGTACTATTTCGCAATTGTACTTTGGCATTATCAACGATGTGTTTTTAAAAATCTGTTATTAAAAAGTGCTAGAAAAATAATTAATACTTTCATGATTAAAAACGAAATCGTTTTTAAAAAGTGTTTAATATATATAAAATTATTTTGAACTTTGCATTATAATACTTTTTGTAATTGAACTTCATTTTATAATAACAGTTTTTATTTTTGAATTGAAACATTAAGTAATCATATGCAATTCCTTATATTTATCGATTATATTTAGACATTTAGTTCACAGCTACTGTCATGCACTGAACATACGACAGCTGTCAAAAAGTGAGATAGCTAATGATAAGCGAACAAGTGCTATTAGTGAAAAGGAAACCAAAGGAGTTGTGCGGCATAAAAAAGCCGACAGAAATAAAACCAAGTAGCATTTATTAAAATAATTTGGTTAGTGACAAATAAAGTTTTATTTTTTATGTATAAAATACGTAAAATAAATAGTATATAAAATATTACAAATAAATTTGTGTTTTATGTTTAATAAAATAATACATATTTTTCAGAATTAAAATATAAATTTGTGCGGAACAAAATTTCCCCATAACAACGCTGCCATTTGTCAAAAGCAGCAATAAATAAAAAGTTTTGTAGTAAGTTCAGTTAATAATCGCGCTTGTATTAAAACGAAAAAAATATAATAATTTACTTGTGTATTTTTTCTTTAAATAGTTTATTATACACTGCCCAGTATGTCTCATACAATTTTGTTGGTTCAACCTGGCGGTCGACCAGAGACGCGCACGTACAGTGACTACGAATCGGTTAATGAGTGCATGGAAGGTGTTTGTAAAATCTATGAAGAACACCTCAAGCGTCGTAATCCAAACACCCCCACCATTACTTATGATATTAGTCAGTTGTTTGACTTCGTGGATCAGTTGGCAGATATAAGCTGCCTTGTGTATCAAAAGTCAACAAATACTTATGCGCCATACAATAAGGAATGGATAAAGGAGAAGATATACGTATTGCTGCGCCAGGCTGCTGGTAGCACAGACTGAATTTCATAAATTTTTCTTTCAAAATTTAATTTAATTGGAGGTTCTTTTCTTACTATGTCATCATTAAAGAAATAAAGGTAAATATTGCGCTTAACATTTAATTTAAAATATTTTTGCTAAAATATTCTTTTATTTTTCAGATTTTACTAAGAGTCTCCAATATCGAAATAAATATTTGCATTAAAGTATACTCTGTTTTATAAAAATCTTCATCTTACTAACTCATTACAATATTCTTATTGTTCAATGGATCAATCAATATTAATAATAAATCGTTAACAAAAAGAAAAATTGACAGAAATCAACATTTTTAACAATTTTCTGTTAAAATGCATAAGTCAAGAATATTTCTTTGAAAATTTAGTAAAATAGTAACAATACTAATCATAATTTAATACAAAATGTTTTTGTAAATGCCGCAGAAGCGACTTTATTTAATTCTTGTAAAAAGTTAGTTTTAGTTTCATAAAATAAAAAAGTATGTAAAAAATAAAAAATGCACTTGATTGAAATTAAAGAAAATCGTTACTTTAGGCGAAGTTAAGAGGCAATTAAATTTAAACAGCACAAATAGTTTATATTGAAATATATTATAAATTAAAGTCTTTGTACATTATTAAATAAATTAATTTTATGTTTAATTAAAAATTAAAATTATAAGAATTTAAAATTAAGTGTGTATCATATTCCAGCAACACAACACCACATAAATAATTTGGTGTTGCAGTCATAAAGGTGTTTAAAAAAAATTTTATAGTGTGAAGTATAATTAATTGATATTTTGTAAAAATAAGAAACATTTTATATACATATATGTATATATATATTAATAACCATCAGACAAGTGGAAATCTCTTTTGAAAATCGTTATAAAAGCAACTACGCATAAGTGCTTGATCAATGACTAACAGTCAAGTGGAAATCTCTCTTCTGCAAATCATCAGAAAGGGATGCACTTGTATCCAAAATATCCAATAAGAATGCCTTTAATATCTCATTTTTATGCCGTTTGCAATAATTAGAATTACACATTTTATATTTTTATCATACAACATTATTGTGTTTAGAATTATCAGAAGAAGTAATTGCATGGATTCTATAGTATCAAATCAATCTGTTGGTAAAAAAGAAATAGAATAGGCAGGATTTGCTGACGAAAATAATGGAAGAAAATGAATACGTCTATTGCAATTGAGCATTTAAAAAATTTTAAATATAATCATGCAAAAAAACGCGGAGATATTGTTGAGCCAAGCACAGATGTCAATAAAAGAAAAGTAGTGACATGGATAGGACTTTATTGTTGTCACCCGTGGGAATCTATATTATTGGAAAGATGAAAGGAATCACAAAATACCAATATATCAGTTAGGAGTAAGTAAGGTGTAACTGAGAAGAATATAGGTTGTTTGGGGATTAGGAATGGATAATGAGTGGGTGGGTCAATGGGTCATACCCAAAAATCAATAGAGCTTAAATCGGTATGTGTATTGGGATATGAGAACATTTTGGCTACTACATTCTTAAGAAAGACAAAAAGATATCGGAGGTCTGTTGTTTATTTGGTGTCAAATTAATTGCAAAAAAAAACCGAGTCCTTGGTACTTAGAGTCTCAAAAAATTATTAACAAATAATTAAATATAAGAAATTATTCCAAAACAACTGACGATAGATATTTGGAAATATTCGAAATAGCTGTATGGTCAGCTAAAAATTCAATTAATTAAAAAAATAAAAATTTTTGTTGTTGCAATTCACTACTGTTTGACGAAAACTTCTTTTTTGAAACAATAGTTAATATTTAGAACTTAATTTCTTTCGTCAAAGCGGACGTTTAATATCTATTTATATTAAAATGTGGAATATGAGGAAGGTTATAGTCGAGCTACACATTTAAATAGGGGTTTTGTTCAACTAAAACGTTATTATTCTCGTAATTACGGATGTTTATAATTCCTAAGTCCAGTTAAACTACGTGTTGGCATTTATTCCGCAGTCTGGAGCCATTTTGCTATACTTTAAGTATCAGTTTATCACCTGGTTTTAGAATACCATAATCAAACCATATTATACTATGTGTCTTGATATTGTAACATTGGGTCACATATACCCAATTTTTAGTATCAAGAAATTAGAGACATATATCCAAGTAATGAAGCATAAATACCTTTTTAGAAATTGATCGATTCATTATCAAAGGCATCCAGATATGAAGAAATACCTAAAAACTGAACGATTCCAATGTAAAATAGACTTTAAAGACAATTTCTGACAAATGAGTAAAATGTCTTCAATGCATTTTGCTAGTCTTAAAGACTGGAAATCTCCAAATCTCTTGTGCAGCGTCTGTGTTTGAGTAATAATATTCATTCTTAACATAAAGACTAAATTATTTCAGTATTTGTGTCTGCTAAGTATGTTTGTGTAGTTATCTAGTGATGCTAATGATGCTATCCTCGGACAGTCGATAAGACAATGTCTATTGTGAAATCCAATAACAATAATATTAATTAATTGTATGAAATTACTAACTAATAATAAGAAAATGTGATATACATATATTAAAATAAAGATAAAATATACTAACTTCTTCACAAATACCAAAAAATAGAAAAAGCATCGGATATCTGATAAAAATTCTATGTACAAGATAAGGTGTTATTATAGTATAGTACCCTAATGTAAAATAAGCACTTATCTTAATCCAATAATTTTGCATAGATTATTTTATAACAAAAATAGATTCAAGCTAAATATGTTATGTATTTCTTCTCTGCTTATGGAATAATTATACGATCTGAGAGAGAGGTGCTGAGATTTTTTTTTTTTCGTAGTAATAAAGTTTTAGAGATAAGATTCACTATCTATTATTAATATTACATGCTGGAGTTTATTCGCAAATAAAAAAATTAAATGAAAATAATATCAGAGGAAGCAATTCAATGTCGTATGAATTTTTTGCTATTCTAATTTTATTTTATTGGTTCACCTAATTTTGACGTCACGATTTACTGAAGAAAATTCAGTAATTATCTGAAAAGCTGAGTCAGAAAATTTTATTGGGGCTACCAAAAATGTGGGTTTGGATTTTTACACTTTTATATACATATATATGTATGTATAACATTTTGATTTATAAACAATAAACAATGTAAGTAATTAAAATAGTATGTAATGTTATTTATTTATTATATATATATAAATATTTAGTTCACATATACATGTTTGTAGTGAATGTATATTAAATACTATGTAATAGTATATAATGTTTAAGATGAAGTATCAGATTTTATGGTTACATGAGTTTTCTGAACTTTTGTTTATTCAGGGTTAATTCAGGTTAAATCAAAATTTTAAACACAATTAAAAAAATGTAGGAACTGACCTGAAGATGACTAAGTGAGTGCTCCCAGTTATGGAAACATTTTCGGAATTAAAAGTATAAAATTTCATATAAAGGAAATTTTTATTTAATCACTGATAATTGCAATATTATTCATAATTTCTTCTGAAATAACAAAACAATGGGCACGTCTATTAAAAACTTAAACAAAGGTTATAAAATATGATCCTATTTACACACTCAATGTAGAGGCCCGTAAAAAAATTAATTTCCGGGTGATGCATTACTAATGAATAGACATATGTATGCATGGAATCATCCGTTTTATTTCAAAAAGAACTTCAGTTCCTTAAACCTTACCCCGTTTGAGATTCAACATATCGAGTATATCTATTTAGATTATTGAATCAATTTCTGAGCGCTGAATTTCTTTTTCTTCATCTTTTTCATCATTCTTTTGAAATCCATTAAATTAAAAAGTATATTAAGATATATAAATCCGATCGTTATTCATAATTAATATTATTATATTAACACCTAAATTTATAAATTAAACCAATTAAATCATAACATTCATCTATTATAAACTTAAATAATCGATTTGGTTTCTGACTTATCCTTTTCCCTTTTTAATAGAAATATTCACCAATACGATGACATTTTCTCTGTGAATGCCCGGCTTTGGCATCCAGAAGAAATAGATTTTTAGTAAGATACTTCTTTGACAGTTTATTAGACTGTTAATCGGTGAAAGACATACTAAATTATCTAAAAAATACTCTTCTATATAAGGAGTTCGAGCGAGTAATGTGGTAGAGAAACGGCTTAAAATCTTCAACCGAGGTACAAGGAAGTCAACTGATGGCCTGTCACTGCAACCAAACAATCAACGATGACTGATTTTACAAGTGATAATGTTGATCATTTCTGTAGTGAAAACTAATTGAAAAGATACTGATTGGATTTCGAAGTAGGTCTCATTAGAATCAGACCTGTGGAACATGTTGGCATCCAGCAAAAATAGATTTTTAGGAAGATACTTCTTTGACAGTTTATTAGACTGTTAATCGGTAAAGATAAAAGACCTACTAAATTATCTAAATTCGTCGGTATGGATTTAGACTATACTCTTCTATATTAGGAGTTCGTGCGAGTAATGTGGTAGCAAAATGGCTAAAAATCTCCAATCGAGGTTTAAGGAAGTTATCTGATTGCCTGTTACTGCAACCAAAAAATCAACGATGACTGATTTTACAAATGATAATGTTGCTCATATCTGTAGTGAAAACTAATTAAAAAGACACTGATTGGATTTCGAAGTAGGTCTAATTGGAATCGGACCTGTGGAACATGTTGAAATAGAATGTAGCACTAATCTAAATATTTTTATATTTACCTAAATAAATTTCTCATAAGAAATCAATAATTCACTATTGATTCTCGTTTCCCAAAAAGGCTATCCGTTATATCCAAAGATTTTCTGAATGGCATGTTCCATTTATTTAAAATTACTTAGTGGTTCCCAGATTTGAATCAGGGTTCTATTTAAAATTTTTCATTCAGCTAAAGTGTTTAAATTTTTTTTTGTTATTATAACGGTCACACTTATTAGTGCCTAATTAGGTTAGGTTAAGAAATCGATTACCGATACAACTATCAGTACTTCTACTTTAGAATATTTTTGGTACATTGTGATGCCTTAAAGGTGACCTACATATAGATGTTTCAGTAGCCCGAGTACCGATATAGCTATGAGCACTTCCACTTTAGGATATTTATGACCTATTGTGATGTCTTAAAGATTACCTACATATTGGTGTCTAAGTAAACCATGTTGAAAGTAGATGCCATCTTTTAATTACATTTAATTTTTTTTATTAATTACCAATTTTTTCATAATTATTAAATATATATTGTCAAAGAATAAAAGAATTGAAAATTATATATTTGGAGCTGAGGTGTCGAGAAATAGTTGCCTACAGTCTTAAATATTTTTTCGTTTTTTTCTTTTAATAGTTAAAAATTAATAATATATGCATAAGTATGTATGTCTAAATGTATATCAAAGTAAACAATATTGCAGTTTAAGTCAACGTAATTTTGCAACTGCATATTGTTAATGTTAAGTAAATATTATCG